TGATTTTTTTCATGGAAAATATTATGAGTGCTGGTGACATTTTTTACAGTCATGAATAATCTTTCGGGCCTTTTTTCAACCTTGATTTTACTACTTATTTGATATGAATTACCTAAAAGATTGGCAGCAATTTTGTCATTAGTTGCTGGTGTACCATTTGTATTCTTAATCATATTTGTGTTTTCAGTTTGTGGCTGGACTCCGTCAATTTGTTTTGCCCAATTCCAAAGTTTTGTATTAGGGTTTATTGGGTTCAGGTTTTCACAAGTTTGTTTCCATTTTTCCCTTTTCACATTTACGCATAATCTTTTTTTATTTTTGCAATCACAATGTTCAGTTCAGTTCTACAATATTTTTGGTTTTGGGTGCACTTTTTTGTAGTTCATTTCTTTTAGTTATAAGTCTTTGAATATTTTTTGCCTGGTGTGTATAATTTGGAATCCATTTCTTAATATTACCTCTTGGTATTGAAACTTTGGCTGCTTTAATAATGGTGTTTTCGAAAGATATCATATTAGCCTTTTTGAAGTTCCAGCATTTTTCTTAATTGAGCTAGTTTTGGTCTTGGTGCTAATTTCTATCAAATTAGGCAAATGATCACTTCCAAAACTTTTTAATATTTTCTATTTGCATTTGTGGAAAATGTCAGGATAGTAAAAACGTATATCAAGGGCTTGTGCAGTATTATAGCTTGTAGGAATGATGGGTAGGATTCCCATCATTTAAGCAAATGAAGGCATTGTCGTCAAATATGTTTGATAGTATTTTACCTCTTGGGTTTGGCGTAGAACATCCCCATAGTTGATGTTTGGCATCAAGGTCACCTACAATAATAGTGTTGTCTGTAAGAAATTGAGCCATTGTTCCATCGTCAATAAATTTATTGTTTGGAGGGTGATACATATTGTATATGTGGATGGCTTTGTTTTGATTGAGGTAGACTTTGATACCTTGGGCTTCGAGGTCTAATGTGTTTGTAATATTAACGGCTATGTCCTCATAGTACAAATTCTTGATTAAAATTGCTAGGCCACGCCCTTCAATAGCATATACAGATGGATCTTCAGACCTTACCATGAGTAATGGAGGGGCCGGAATTAACATAATACTGCAAGATGGAACAAACATCAAAATCAAAGAAGGAGCAGGACAGATTTCGTCAAACTTCACTTGTGAACTGACAGCTATCTGGAAAGCCCTTGATGTATGCCTTAACCAACCATCCCTGCATCAAGCAGAAGGAATTTTAATATACAGCGACTCCATATCCGCTCTAGAAGAAATTCAGAAGGGCAATACTAAAATCACACAGAAAATACACTCGTTACTTACCCAACTGGAACCATTGGAGAATAACTGCATTCTACAATGAATCCCTGCCCATGCTGGGATCAGGGGTAATGAAATGGCATTCGAATTGGCAAAGGAAGCCAGAAAGTTGAGCCAAAGGAAAGAACAAATGTCATTATTTGACGCTGATTCTTTGTCAAAATACAAGATAATTAAACGAAAAAAAAAAGAAAATATCAAAATGCGAAATAAACTCTGAGAGAAAAATGACAAAAACTATAACAAGACTTAGAACAAAACACTATAAAGGAATGACAATACATCCAGATGGCACAAGAACCTATAGGGCATGCAACAATTGTCCTGGTGTGGAACTTACACCTACCCACATATTCTTATAGCCAGCAATGGCCGCAGCCTTGCAAAAATTAGACATAGACCCTGAGCAGCAGCTTTACACACCTAAGATAGTGGACATTGCTGCTGCTGTGATGGAGATACATGGATACATCTGAGGCTCTTTATTGGACACGACAACAACAACGGCATTCCAGAGTAAAATAAATTATCAGAGATAGATACATATTTTTCAAATGAATTAAAATAAATATAATCGATACTGAGTGAGAGTTGAATTAAAAATATTAGAAATTTATTATCTTCGGAAACAAACCGTATCTAAAATATCAATTTTCTTTTTGCTACATGTTTTAATTTGCATTTACCTATTTTACATATCTCTGATTGTATTTGAAAATCGTTAACTAATTCTTCATACTTTTGGCGAAGTGGTGTTTTATTAATTTGTTATTTGATATTATTAGGGTTCTTTCCTGGTATTCAAAAAGGAAAAATACATGCCGATCAGTTATATTTTTCAATTTATCAAACAATTTGGCCGCTGAATCTCTGATTCTGGTAGAGCGCCATCTGGCGAATAAAATTGTAACTAAAATCAATTTCGAATTTTTCATTATTTGCCATAAAAAATCCCATTGCATCCTGAACACAATGGTGTTTACCGCATTGCTCTAGCGCAAATATTCGCGGAGTTATTAATTTTTAAAATAGTGCGGGACTTTTGGATCACCCTGTATGTATTGGAATTATAAAACATAAAATGCATTGAACTTTGATTTTTCAATTAGTGCTGCAAGATTATAAGTTTATTACCTCTTTATATACGCGACAAAATATTTGCCGGAATCTTTTAAATAGCATTTAGAACTACGTCCATAAGGCCTTGCATATATTCTACGAAGATATCTTACCAGGAATATTCCTCGAATTATAGACACCATATAACTCAAAGATGACTCCATCATGGAGAATTGTAAAATGTTCAAAGATTTGGCGATATTAAACATGAATATATATAACATGAAGAGTTGCACGAGGATGGTTTTCCTGTAATAAAAGCTGCACCCCTCTCTTTAAAACTGCATTGAAACAACGCATTTGCGTTATCACCCTGTACAAAACGTAAAATTGGTGATGTAGAATAAGTCACGACATTAGTTCTGGCATATTTAGACAGAAGGCTAACCTGTATACCATGCTTTCAGGGTAGTCTTACCAGCTTGGACATCAATTTGGCCAATTCTATCGATTTCATAACACCTCTCGCATATTGTATTGAAATCGAAGTCGCCCTTGTACTGATAAGAGCCAATACAAGAAACCATTGTATACCTGTTGGCTTTTTATCTGAATTTACAGAAACTAGTGTTGTGGCCCATTATTCATCCTCACCATTAAGTTTTGTACTGGGATGATAAACCAAATCCGTTGTTTTGAATGCATTTTAAAAGGAAAAGTTCCACTTTTAGAGCATATATAATGAAAAACATATAAGTGTGAAGCTTAATCAGCAGCGTTTAGTTACCCGATGGTCCTCTTTAGAATAGGTGCAAGCTATACTGTATTCCACAGTGTCAGGATATGGTCCTAATCAGAATAAGTATAAGCTAAACTGATTTCCATAGTGTCAGCCCTAAACAAAATATGTTAAAATACACTGTATTACATAGTGCCAAGGTATGGGCTTATCATAATATGTACAAGATAAACTGCATTTTACAGTGTGAGGGTATAGCCCACATCAGAAGAAGTACAAGCTATACTGATGCTACATAGTGTCAGGATATGGCCCAAATTAGAATAGGTACAAGTAAAACTGTATGAAAAAGTGTGTAAAGGTATGGCCCACATCAGAATAGGTACAAGTTAAACTATGCCACACACAGGGTGTCAGGGTATGGCCCACAAAACAATAGGTACAAGCTATATCTCCAGCCCTAGTTAAATATTAAAATTATTTTGACACTATCTTCAATCGATGAAATTTAGTAATAAATTCAACACTACATTTGTGTATACATATAATAGAAGCGATCTATAAAGACTCTATACTGATAATATTTTTATTTTTATTATAAGTATAAGGTATGTAGATTTTTTTAATTATATGTATTCCATAAATTAGCGTTAAAAGTTAGTGCCGCTTTTCTTCTATAATGCAGTGCCAGGATAGAGCCAGAAATGTATTAATGCTATTATATAAGAAATCTGTCAATTCTACCAAAATCTGCTCAATCTGAAGCGTCAATTTTGGTATAGATACAGTGAATGCCAGTGTATTTTATGATATTCATATGTTCTATAAGTAGATCTTCCTTTAATAATCGATTTTAAAATGTATTTTTATCCTATCTGTATTCCAGTATATACCGACTTGAAACAATGAATATATTCCAAAATAGAAGCTATATGGAAAAGCACTGAAACATTGTTTTATAATGATATAGTTTCGAATTTAGAAGCATGATAACGCCCGAGAACTATTCACAATTAAGCCGTAATAGCAACGCAGTGGAGTAATTTCCCACATAAATATATAACAAACATTTTATAACCTAGAAATAGAAAACGCTACACTAACTGTCTCATCCAGAGAAAGAGAAAGGTTCTCTTTTTCCTGAGAAGATCTTGCAACAATCAATTGAACATGAGAGCAACAATCGTAGATAGAGTTGTATTGAATGATTCCTGCTTTATTGAAGGGCATCACAAAAATAACTGTGATAGTGGAAAGTTATCTGCGCTGTTATATCAATATGTTCTAATATCAGCTTTGTGAAATATTTGAGAGATGATCTGTTAAAAATAAGTTATAACTATACATGTGTACATTCATGAAAATAAAACGTTTATAATTGAAACAATACAGAGTATTAATTATACATTTCTTTAAAATTGTATTTTAATTTTCATGTATTTATAACATAAAATATTACTGGCTTCTCTATATAAATATCCAAATAAAGAAAATGTCTTTGAGAGAACATAAGTTGTTCACATTAGTAAATTCGAATATTTTTAATTTAGAAAATTCCATTAGAAACTTCTACCAGGATACTTCAGTCTCATAGAAAAATATTGAGTTATCATATATGATGGATCTGCTTTCCTTTCTATTTATTAGGCAGATAATATATTTTACAATTTATATAATAATCATTAACATATCAATAATACAATATAGTGCGGCTTATAATTGTAGAACGACATTTGAAAATTATCCCACATGTGTTTATTTTACATATAAAATCGAAATTTTTTTCAAGGAGAAATAACGATTATTTCTAACCTAGGGATGAAGTATGAAAGAATGAATTGTGAAGAGTAATGATAAACGGAAAAATAAAAGTGTCCAGGGATGGGAATCGAACCCACATTGTTCCGCTTACCAGGCAGATGCCATGTCCACTATTATACCCTGGACTTATTATTTAAAAAAAAAATTGATTTTTCGTGCAAAAGAAACACATACGGGATAATTTTCAAATGTCGTTCTATCAACATATCTGTATCTACTTAATCTTACTTTAAAATTGTAGCTGTGAAAAATAACCTGAAATATTTTAAATAGTAAAACAGGGATAAGTATACTTGCGCTAAAAGACGAAGAATCCGCAGCTTCCTATCATCCCAAGATTCGACCTTACAATAGTTAATTCTTATCATAAAGAATGAGAAGAAGAATCCAAGGATCATTGATATGAAGTATCGTTTTCCACCACGCCATACGACTGTTCGTAATAATCTATCTCTCAGGATATATTCCAACATAAATCTCCACAACACTTCCGGAGAGATTCAAAAACATCCGGGTTAGGAATGATCAATCAAAAGGATTGACTGAGAAGTCTAATTACGTGGCAAGAAATACTTTTTCATTTGAAAAATTGCCTGACAAAATCTGCTGCCTCCCAGGGCTGTTTCTTGGTATTTTAATTATATAGAATTCGAAGTAAGACTCGCTTCAAACGTTAGGTAATGTGGCGTTTGAGAGATCAGCCATTTGGTTTAAATCATTGCATAAATATCTTCTTATACAGGATTTAATGTCGAAAGGAAGTTAGGAACAATTTACTGGATTTCAAGCCAATAATTAACACAAAAACACACTGTATTTTTAACTACACACATTTGACTATTATAAATAAAAATATATATATTTATAGTTTACTAGACGAATGACCCGGCATCGTCGAAGAATTCCCCCGAGTATAATTTTCTTCATAATGAAAGTACATCAATAATGAATAGTAGAAGTGTCATAGAATAGAAATACAGAAGTAACACATAAACCTCAGGCAAAAGGTGTGTGTGATGACAAAAGTTGTATTATATTAGTGTTTTGGTATTTGATTTATTTATTTTTTTTGCAATCCATTTAGTTGTTTCAAAATCAATTTAGTTTAAATGATTGGCAGATTTTCCACCCAACCCCCGAGGTACCCGCCCCAGGGCATTATCCCTTTAAATTGCCTGAGTTGAGTGAGTGACATCTTCTCATCAAAAATAAGAAAAAAAAATAGTTTTATAAAAAAAGTTAAATAAATATACTGGCATGTAAATATTTTCTGTAAAAAATAAAGGAGCACATAGAAATTAGGCAAACATATGTGTTTGATAATGACTGCGACTGCATTTTAAACGATTTTTTTAAAGAGATAAAAAACAAAGCCAGAACAAAAATAATAATAAAAAAAAATACGAAAGCCATTATTTACATAGAGTAACCGCTAATTTAGTTTTTTCAATTGCATTGTGTGCACTTACCGTAACTTAGTAATATAAATTTCTCTCTCAATACTTTTGTAAAAGAAAAGTAAAACTCGTATAAAAAGATATTTCAGAAAATGTACGCTAGCAAACTGAAAAAAAAAATAAAATTCAGAACACTCATTGGTCGCTTAATTGGCCTGGTGTTGATACTTCGCCCCGTATTTACCCCGCGTAAAAGAGGTTTTCCAAATTAAAAAAATAAATAGCCAAACATACTAATCATGTAGCCGATATTTTTCTCAGGTTTATAAAAAGTGACATGTAAAATTTGGTACCAATTGGTTCAGTAGTTTTTGAGTTTATCGCAAAACAGACAAAAGACATTGACTTTTATATATAAGGAAATAGTATATATTTGAACATGGTCAATATATGCCCTTTTTATTTTAATGCCAAAAACCTGACCTTTCTAATTATATATTTTTGTATTATTTTTCACATGTTTATAACGTATTTACGAAGGTTTTGCCTCAAATGCCAATTTTATTTCTTGATTTCTCAAGAAGCCTCTTGGACCAAAATATATTTGGTCGCAGAGGTACAGCCTTCGCCACGCTGACGAGGACCAACAGCCCGAAACGCGTTCGTAGTTGGCCTTTCTTGATTTCTCAAGAAAATGGGTTAGCCAGATATCAGGGAACAGGCTAAATCGACGATTATTTATTCATGTTCCACTAGATGGAGCTCTGCCATCTAAAATGTTCATATGAATGTGGTCAGGATATGCCTTTTTTATTTTTAATATCAACACCTGACCTTCTAATTTTTTATTTTTTCTATTGTTTTTTCATGTGTTAAGCGTATTTGCGCAAGTTTGGCCTTAAATACCCATTTCTTGGTTTCTCAAGAAGCCACTTACAACCAAAAATCATTTTGGTCGCATTGGTACAGCCTACTCCACGCTGACGAGCGCCAATAGTACGAAACGCCTTCGTGGGTGATTTTTCTTGATTCATCAAGAAATATGGTTGGCCAAATATCAGGGAACAGGCTAAATCAATGTTTGGTTGATTTCAGATTCACCAGATGTCGCTCTGCCTTCTGTAAAGCACATGTGCTCCTGGTCAGGATATACTTTCTTTATTTTTAATATCAATACACAACCCACTTTTTTATTTTTTCTATTGTTTTTTCATATATATATGTACCAAATGAGGCACCTCTCCTTTAATTGTGCATCAGAACGACGACACTCTCTGTATCACCCTAGTACTGATGATAATACAGAAAGAGCCATAACACCAGTTTTGGCAACTTCAAACAAAAGGCCAACCTGTATTTTATGCATAATTAAACGGAAAGGTTCCTCTTTTGGTACCTGAATATCATCCTTAGCTGGAATATATTTCAGAACATGACAAAAATTCAGTTTTAATTTTATTAAAATATCCTAAATAGGAGCGGCTACAATTCTCTAATATAAGTGTGTGAGTATATAGAATGTTCTCACCTATTGGCTTATTTTTCGGTCACAAATTGACTTTTTGATTTCTAGTGAACACCGTTATGATTCTTATAATGCTGAGGAGTCCCTAGAATGAAAGGTTTGACGGAAGTATTATTGTATATACCAGGTCTATTAGTATGAAGCGCGAAAATGGCCTGAAAGGTGGTTCGAGTGTAGAGCTAATCAGGCAATTACTTTGAATAAAAAATATTTTGTTGTATGGAATTGGTGAACTTTTGAATTCACTGAAAATTTTCGCGTTTCATACTAATAGACCTGGTATATCTCACAAATACATTAAAATATCTTTTCAGAATACAATATGCTGAACTAGAGTACGCCTTTCTGCGTTTTCTATGTAAAACTAGACTGAATATGTTATTTATAAGTTTTTGTTTCAGAATGAGGTAGTATTTTAACACATGTGACAATGGAACATAGATAAAATAAATTAAAAGGAGTCTAATTGTATTACCTCTTGTTTAGGTACAATATTGCTATAAGACCTTCATTCAAATGAGCACTAGGAAATAAGCAAATATAAGCGCTAAACTTATATTAATTCAATACATAACACTTTCTCGACCTTCAGACACAATTTGTATTTAAAAAGAGAATTTTAGTATCAAACTTGGATTTTTAAAATTCTTTATCGTGCATGCTTTTATCTACACTTATTTATATAGATGGAAAATTTGCCGGGAGGAAATTAATCCATGGAAGCAATGGTCGCCTCTCCCGTCAAAATAAACGTCAGAATCTGACGCCATCTATTGACCGTCGCCGCAACTAGTGGCATCGGGTCGGTGACAAAGCCACAACACCAACTTTGTTGGCCCAGCCACATTGCCAGCAAAACACCTCTTTGGTAGATTGCGAGGATTCCATTAGATCCCGTGTGGATCTCATGGAATAAAGTCCGCCCTAGACTGACGAGGGCCATTAGCCCGAAACCATGGTCTCTAGGTGGACGCTTATCAGTTTGCCAAAGTTGGTGTTGTGGCTTTGTCACCGACCCGATGCCGCTAGTTGCGGCGACGGTCAATAGATGGCGTCAGATTCTGACGTTTATTTTAACGTGAGAGGCGACCATTGCTTCCACTTATTCATATGTACGGTGCAAAATCCTTTAGGTTGTTCCTCAGAGGTTAGAATAGTCAAGTTAGTTTTGGTCGCGGATGGACAATATATATTGAGTGTGAAAGTATGAATACGCGTTTTTCAGGTTAGAAAATTAAATTAAATTGAAAAATATTATCCTACACATTTATTAAAATAATTTTCGAATGTTAGATACAACATTCTCTCCAATAATTAAATTAATTTATGGATGCCAATATGAAAAAAAAGTATTGATGTCGAGGCATTCCATTGATTAAGCCAATTTTCAACTTCTTCGCGATTCTGGAAACGCTGGTCAGCCAGTCCATGTTCCATCAAAAGGAAGAGGTGATGAACCGATAGAGCGATATCTAGAGAGTATGGCGGGTGGGGCGAGGTTTCCTATTTGAGTCTTTCAGAGTATGTTTTACCGATTCTGCGACATGTGGTCTCGATTTTTTATGGAACAATATCAACTTGCCATATCGTTGCGCCGATTCTTGTTGTTTCACTGTGAATTATTGGCGTAATTGTGTTACTTGTTGTTAATAGCGATGAGCAATGCGTTTCTCGCTTTGTAGGAGATTTTCGTAGTAAAGTATGCCGTTCTGATCCCACCAGAAGCACAGAAGAACCTTCTCACCGTGGATATTCGATTTCACGGTCGAATTTGTCGGCGTCCTTGACATACCCATAATTTCTTGCCCTTCGGATCGTCAGAATACATCCAATTTTCATTCCCAGTCACAATAAGATGAAAAAATACTTTCGGAACCTTTCCAGCAAGATTGCGTAAATACGCTTAACACATGAAAAAAACAATAGAAAAAAGTAAAAAATGAATATATAATATTAAAAATAATGAAGGCATATCCTAACCAGGATGACATGTACTTTTTAGATGGCATGCGCCATCTAGTGGAACAGAAATCAAATAAACATTGATTCAACCTGTTCCATGATATTTGGCACACCCATTTTCTTGATATATCAAGAAAAGCCATAAGCGCTGTTGGCGCTCGTCAGTGTGGAGCTGGCTGTACCACTGCGACCAAAAATATTTTTGATCCCAGAGGCTTCTTGAGAAACCTAGAAATGGGTC